AAAAAAAAAAAAAAAAAAAGGAAAGGAAAGGAAAAGAAAAGAAAAGAGTGAAAAAAGAGTTGAGCATGAGATACACCAACCTGCTCTTGAAACTGGGCTGAGTAAGTGAGATAGATCTGGACTTAGCTGTAGGCCCAAGGGGACTGGGGATAAAGAGGGCAGGGCTGGGAGCAGCTGCTGGGACCACGTGTAAGAGGGAACTGCATCTTAGTCTGATTGGCTCAAATCCCAAGGTACCATTATGCCAGGCATTATTTTTCTCTTTCCTCTCCCTCCCTTGACTCCAGCACCCCCAAATGTTAGCAAGGTTTCTCCTCATCCCTAAAACAGCTCCCAAGGTGGCACTAGCCAATGGTTCCCAGTAAATGGAAGGTAAGGAGCAGCCCATCTCAAGATTTTCCAAGGGGACAGAATGGAAGCTTTTGCCTCCTTAGCCCAGAATCTGGGCTTCTTGAAAGTAGTTCCACAAGAAAAAGTGCAGTGTAAATTCAGGTTTCTCTAAAGGTAAGGGCTCGGAGATAGGACTGGACCTTCTAGAGGAGCAAGTTGGCCTTAGTGCTTTCTGGGAGTCTCTTCTGACCCCAAGGTCTTCAGAGGTGTGTGTGTGTGTGTGTGTGTGTGTGTGTGTGTGTGTGTGGTATCTTATCTCTCTCAGAGGAACTGAATTCTGGATCTTGGAGAGACTTGATTTTGACATCCAAACTGTGCCTCAGGCCACGTTTTGGGGTGAAGCTTACCAGTGTCTATAATACCTCACCAAAGGTGGGAAGCTATAATTTCTGGCTCAGGGCTTCTACTCGCTCTGCACATGCTGAAAATCAATGCTGATCACAGTCGCTGGGGATTCCTACAGCTGCAGGTTGCCAAGCTGTCAAGCAATGGGTCCCTTCCTCCACACCTGGGGGGCCAGGGACTGCCCATTGTGGGGGCTTGAAAGGCTTTAAACTACCTCCTAAGAAATCCCAAATACACAATGTAAACAGCAGTCTTAAGGCGAGATGCACACCCCACTCCCCGGGCTGCAGTGCCCAAGCTCCACCTAGAGAGACCTCCTGGAGCTTGCAGCATTTTGCAATCCGTAGCTGCACAGGCCAGAGCCGGGTTTCCCAACCTGTAGAGGCCGCACCCACATCTCCAGGGCGGGGAATGCCAGTAACCCCAGCAAGCCCCAGCCTGCTCGGACCTAACGGGTCTGACAGTGCAGGAGAAACAACCAAGGTCTCTGAACCCCTCTCCACCCAGGCACCTGCCTCCCAGAGCTGGCCGAACCACCCCTAGTCCCAGACGCTGGAACCCAGCCCAAATTACTGTGTTTCAAGGAACCACAGATCCCCTCCCACCCGAATCTGCAAGACTCCCGTGCGCGACCACCAAGCCTGGTGCACGGTGGAGTAATGTGCAGGAGAGGGCCTGCCTACGGGAAAGGCGGAGAGACGAAGAAATAAACAGAGGAAGAAACGCAGTGGGTCGGGGAGCCGCTGGCGAATGCCTGACAGTGCGGAGCCTGGAAAGCCGGGGTGTGTGGGTCTCTCCGGGAGGGGTCTCAGGTGCATCCGCGGGGCCGATGGAGACCCAGGCCCAGCACGCGGCGCCCCGACTATGGCCCCCAACCTTCCGAGCCCTTGGCCGGCCCTGCCCTTCTCCGTTCCCCCTCCAGCCCTGGGTACCCCAGGACCCACCTCCCTCGCCGCTCCCTTACCT